CACCCCAGTGCCACCGCAGTCACAACTGTAGCCGCCCCAGCCGCTGCGGCCCCAGCCGCTGCAGCCTCCTCTGAACCTGGTGATCCAGCAGCTGACGGATCATCTTCCTCATCGTCCAGTGACTCAGACTCAGACTCAGACTCAGACTCTGAGGAAGAGAAGTCAGAAGTGAAGACCGAAACCAAGACCTCACCACCAGAGGTGTCAGAATCCACTGTGAAAGAAGCAGCAGAAGTCCAGGAGAACACTTTAGAGGTGAAGGAAGACACTAATGAAGCTAAGATGGAAGTTCCACCAGAACCTGAAGCTACTCCCGCTTGTGCTGCTGAGGATGCACAGGAGGCCGCTCCAGCAGCAGTAGCATCCCCCACAGAAGCAGCTCAAGCCACCGTCGAGGTACCCGGTGTTAGCTCTGAGGAGTTAGTGGACCCCGCTCCTGAGATCTGCAATGCCACCAAAGACACTGTGACCAGCCCAGACGTTTCAGCTGAAGCTGCAGTGGAACCCGCTCCAAAAGTAGAAGAAGACAGTGCATCTCCTGCCATCCCCGATGCCCAAGTAAAAACTTCAGCTGAAGTTGTGATCGAGCCTGCATCTCCAGAAAAAGCCCAGACTGATGCTCCAGTAGAAACCACAGAGAGTGCCTCTGCTGAAGCCCCTGCAGAAGCTGCTGAAGCTGCCCCTGTAGAAGCTGATGCTAAAGCTGCTGCAGAGCCTGCTGAAGTGGCTGGCGAGGCTGCCACGGTAGTTTCTGCCCCTGTGGAGAGCACCGAGGAGCTGGTGGACCCTGCTCCAGTGGTAGCTGAAGCTGCTCCTGCTGAAGTGGTTGCTGAGGCTGCAGCTGAAGTTTCTGCCCCAGTGGAGAGCACTGAGGAGCTGGTGGACCCTGCTCCAGTTGTAGCTGAAGCTGCAGGAGAGGAGCTGCAGGCGGACGCCCCAGCTGAACCACCTGAGGGTACACACTACACCATTATAGTTCCCAAATCTTTACCTCCCCATTTCCTTTCTGGATCTGTGAGCCCCTACATATGACCATCATTTTCTTTCTATACTGTATAGTGTCAACTCCCTCACATACTGTAGTTGCTGTTGCTTTCACAGCTTTTTAAATATCATCTCTGGATTCTTTTGCTTCTGTTCCACCGCTGTGACATCTGACTTCCAGCTGCCTCTGTGTTCAGTGTGGTGCTTGTGCATGGGGTGGATGTAGTGTACATGTACTTTAATGCTGGCTGGTGCATTCCTTTTCCCTTTTTTTATTTCCTTTGCTTGCTTTCTGCTAATTGAGGTTTGGAGTTGTCTGTGGCTGACCCCCCCACCCAGCTCTACTCTTGCTGTCAGTGTATGATCAGAGATGTTACTTGGTTCATACTGTGACAATAATCGTGCTCGTGTTTCTGCTTTCTTCCCCTCGTTTAATGACTCAAGAATCCACCACCTATCTCTTAAATCCCCCTCACTTGCATTCCAGCAGCTGCCATCCATCCATCCATCTCCCACAACATTGTTCTCATAGTTCACTCTTTTTGATAAATTGCTGATTTCGGCTCATTTTTGTCGTTAATGTCTCTGTATGAAATATGGGTTTCAGGTTTTCTGAGTTAAGGTTACAGGTAATAATGCCAGTGTCTGTATTCCTTGTGCCAGGTAATGTTATTGCTAACCGTAATGTTAGATTGCACATCCTCAGACTGCGTTACAGTGAAGGCCTCCTGTCCCTGACAGCAGCTGGACGAGTAGAAGCTGGGAGTGGCTGGAGTCAGTGGAAGTATTCCAGGGAGCAGGATTACACAGTAACAAGATGTTTTTATAATCATTGGATCATAGTCATGACGTGAATACTGTATGTCCAACTGACTAGAAGCTACCAACATCTCACAGATTCCAATTCTAAACATCCCTGTTTAGCTACAGCCCTTTGTTACACTTCTCACCAAACACTTCTTACCAGCTGGGTGATTCTGCCTCCTGGAACAACCTCCTCACCTCGCTCATGGATTTCACCTCTTGTTCACTTCTGTGAATCTGGACTTTGGGATGAGCACGGTGTCGTTTCATGTGACAGTGTCTCAAATGTATTTCTCTGTGATCTTCAATGTGCAAGGTTCTTTCCCACTGTCTCACATGTTGTTGATAACCTTACTCACACAGCATGCGCAAATTATGTACTTCTGTTTAATCGAAAGCATCGTAGCACTTTTGACCTAATGCCCTTTTTAATCCATTTCATGCTGACCTCTGCCAGTATCAGTTTCTCTAGTGTGAGGGTCTTTATTGTCTGCACCCTCACATACGTTCCTCTCAGGAACATCATCTTTTAGGCTTTTCCCAACAGTGTGTTTCCACACTTAAAGTTTTTTCAAATATTTACAAAGCAACCCACATTTCTTTTTTTTCTGATTGTATAGCTTATCAGAAATACCTCGGTCAAGTCGTAATTACAGTTTTTGTTGCCTGAAAATCAGTAGCGGGGACGAGGACGCAGAAGTAGACCCAGTGTTGCCTAACATGTTTGACTAACCTTTATTGTTTCAATGCATGAACAGTATGAAGGTTTGTATACTCGGCTTTCTTACATGCCTTTTTGTCTCTCCCTCTGCAGAGGCTGCAGCACCTCCGGAGCCCGATGAGCCTTTTGACAACAGCACTTATAAAAACCAGCAGCACCACAACTACACCCCCCACACATTTTCAGACCTGGATGTGGAGATGGCCAAGTTTCGTCTCCCGCAGCCCTCCTCTGTCAGGCACTAGAGGAGTCGGCCTTGCTACAAACCTTTATATTGCTTAAAGATGATGATGGTGATGGTGTTGGCACTGTTTATGATGATCATTCCCTCACCTGTAAGATCTGCATGCAATTCTGCTGTTAAAATATTATATTATTAAAGCACAAAAATGGGAAATGAAGTGTTTTTTCCTGGTGTGATTCTGTTTTGTCTTAGCTAAAGAAACAGGCATATAAAGGGATGAGCACAGATCAAACACTGATTTTCTGCTGCTTTTCTGCCTCAGGGGGGCATTTGAATAGAGCTGAGTGTGCAAGTGGTTTATCTGTGTTTCTATTTTAAAGATTACAATTTCCACACCCTTAGCCTGCCTGCTTGCACATAATGTCCTAATTATCCCAGCTAGCATTCTTTTAGGGTAGACAATCCGCATCTATGGTGTGTATTAGTGTGCATACGATGACACAATATCTGCATAAAGGAGTGTAAAGCTTCAGATATACATAGAAAATGTGTTGTGTAAACGGGGGTAGTAAATGGCGTTTGCCAAGCTAGAAACCCAAGAGGGCGCAGAGGGACAGGCTGTAGGACGTCATGTCTCCGCCCACCTTATAAATATTCATAAGCCAAGCGCCTCTGCGTGCCCTTACGCGATGACGCAACGCGACAACTGCGGGTCCCGATTGCTGCAGCCGCTTGTCAGTGTGACGAAGATTGGCACTCAGGTAAGCTGTCACTCAAAATCCCTCTTTTTCCGTTCCCTATCAATCAAACAATCTGGGCCGCACGCAAAAATGCCCCGGGGCGAGGAGTGCGGACCTAGTCAGGGCAGCGGAGGGTGTTTTTGGAAGGGAAGCAGAAGCGGCAGAGCTCCGGGAAGAATAAAAAAATCTGTATACAAGGGAGGGGGTAAAAAAATATGTCGGCGTTTTGGGGGCAGAGGAGGATTGTGGAAAAGCAAAGGGCGAGAGCTAGAAACGAGGCCCGACAGTTGTAACACTGTCGCTGAGGGGAGGACAGCTGTCCCCGCGTGATTGATTGACTGATGTGGGAAGGATTTGAGGATCAACCGGGCTAGCCTGGTGTGCAGCCAATGCTCGTTAATATCACCGCAGTTTAATTACTGCATAGAGCGAACAAGAAATGCATATTCATTTAAAATGTTAATTCAAAAATGCTAAGGCTCTTGATGCTGTTTTGTTATGTGGGCAAACGACACTCTTCGTATCAATCCGCAGCGGGGTCCTTTTTTTGTACCTGGCTAGCTAGGTTAGCTTGTTTTTTGGTAGTGATCCCCTTTCTAAATATGGCGCGTCTCATTTGGCCTCACCGTTCTAGCGTGAGAAACACTTTCAAGTTAACAGTTGGCGAACGTTAGCTGTAGCTCGGCCAGGCGGTTGTTCATTGGGTTAACCTTAGATTAGGTTGGCGAGCTAACGCCAATGTGGCGTTAACCTTACAGGCGAGCTAATGTTAAATATTGTGGACTATCAAAGCTTACTCCCGCCGAGCTACTTTGTCTGCGTCAAGACTGCCGTTGCTGTAGCAGAGGATATAGCTTTAGTTGGCCAATGTTTGCTTTCTTTAACTTTTATCTCCCCTTGCCGCCACAAACGGCGGGCAGCTAACAGAGCTAACGGCTAAGTTCATCGTGGTGGGTGTGTTAAAAGCAGTTGCAGGGTAACGTTATCGTTAGCTTACTATTATTATAACAACGCGTCACGGGCTCGTTATTTCAGTCTCCTGTTTCGTGAGTGTGGTGTACAGAAATGTGTCTGACTGTTGATGAGACGTAAAGAAATAACGTTACATTAGTAAACGTAGTCGCTTCATGCTACGGTAGTCCCCCCACAGCCCCTTGTTTTGCCCAGAGGTGTGTGCACATATCAACACATTTACACTTTAAATGATACACGTGTTTATGTCTTCGTTATTTCTGCATCCTATATATCCTTCAAACGCGTCACTTATCATTTTAGTTTGATTTTGGAGGAAATATGTGATCATTACATTAATACGCGTTAATGTTCAACATCTATTATTCGTTTTATGAAATGAGCTTCTTTATTCTCTTACTTACACTCAAGCAGTTTACAAAGCTAATGATAATCTCTCATCGTAACCTCATGACGTTCCAGTGTGTGTGCCTAACGTTCCCCTCCAGGTAGTCTAATGTGCACTGTGTGTTGTGTAGGTTGGCCACCTGTCCCTGCTCTCTATAATGCCCCAGTGTGTGCAGCATCAGCAGTGAACGTGATGGCAGCCCAGTCGGTTTCCATAGACAAGTACCCAAAGGGAGAGCAGCAGGTGGGTGAGAGGGAGACGCTTGCTATGGACCTCAAGGCCTACACAATCTGCTCCAACTGGCTGAACGGTGCTTTGTTTCGCTTGTTTTTACAAAGATAATCAACCAGAACAGGGCTTGAAAAAACAAAACCTAAATGTTTGAAGCTACAGCTTTCAGTATGCCGCTCCACTCCTTGACCATAGACGCTCCGGTGTTGTTAGTGGGGATGATGCAGCCTGGGCTGCTGAACAGAAGGGAAAACACTTTATGCACGTAACACTAGAACACAGCCACTGATAATGCTCTTACATCAGTTTTAGTCGTTTGTTGGAGACGTGCATGGCTGTCTGTAACAGGCCAACACACAAATACATCACTGTTTGGGAAACACTTATGCTGCATGAAGCTATTTTTCTGCCTAGCATATCTGTGTCTGAGCTTATGTAAATTGCTTACAAAACATCATTATTCAAGTGCCAAATTTGGGGGTGTCGAGAGCTGAGAAGGATCTATGACTAATGAGAAATTTCCACCCCAAGCAAGTGATTATTTTTAGCTACTTTGTGCTCAATCTCATTCATTGTTGTTCTCAGTCACATGGTTGGGGCTGGGATTCATGCCCCTGGGTAGGCAGCAGGGTGTGACAGTAGAGGAGCAGAAACGTGGCTCCTAATCAATGAATGTGCCTCCAGTGTTGTGGAGGCTACACTTAATGTATCCTTTTACTTCCATTAGGTAACGTGTGTACTCGCAGGTTCTGGATTATATTTTCAATCACATCACCGGGTATGTGGTGTTTAGTCTGCATTGTGACTGGAGCACAACACTGACTGGATGTCTAGCTGCAGGGGCTCGTACAGCAATGTGAGACCGGACGGCATGAAAGAATGCACACATGCATTTAATGCATCTGTCCATAACATGTTTCAGGTCAAAAGTATTCAAGTGAAACAAGAATAAACTGTCAGTCAGGTAACTCTAGCCAACAGGTGCTGGTGGCTGGTAGCGGGACCAATGACTCCTGCAGCACCTCTCTGCCTTGTTGATCCCAGTGAAGAAGTCTTCATTCTTCTTGAAAAGAGAGATTCAGTCTCGTATGAGCAATGCCTAGTTTCTGACTGATGTTCAGACCATGTCCTCATGACTCTCCACAGGGTTCATAGTGAAGCAAGGCTCTGTGTTAGGCTTTACCCTCCAGCTACTCGGGTCTTCACATGATGTTGTGGTGTCTCTCTTCACCTCTTCTGTCACTCTGTTGCTTTCTTTCTCTCACTCCTTTGTGTTCTCTTTTCCTGCAGATGCAAGGTGTGGTAAAGGTAGACGGCGAATCCGAGCAGAAGTTTATTGAGGGGACGTTGGCAGAGGCGCCCAGTCCGATACCCACGGAGCCACAGACACCCATGGACGCGGACAAAGCCTCCATATATCGGTGTGTGTGTGTGTGTTTAAGGAGAGAGAACCAGAACAGCCCCCTCGTCTTAAATCTGTGTTCTTCTCTTTCCCATTCTTAACTCCATTACTTTCAGCTTGTCCAGAAACTAAACTATCACCAGGAAACCTCACATGGCCTCTCTGAGAACTCCTCCCCTTTGTTCTCCTCACTTAATTAGGGAGCAGCGATCTGACTTCTTCCCGTTCAGATAGGACATCTCCATCTCTGAGAGGCTCAGACAGTCTGCACGAACAACAACTTCAACCATTAATCGATTATCTTAATAGTTCCAACTAATTGATGCAAGTTTTTAGTTCAATCATTATGTGTGAAGTGATTTTGGTGACACTGCATCAGAATGAAGTTATGGAAGGCTTTGCCCAATACAAATTCCCCCAAATTCTTTTCAAAATAAGTGTTTCATAACCAGGAAGATATTACTGACGTGGACGGTGATTGTGGTCACACTGCATGACAACGAAGTTATTGAATATTTTAGTTAAATGTCTTTTCAGCGGCTACACATTAAAGAGGCATCGCTTGTGTTTTATTAACGTCACACTTATGAATTATTGATCCAAGAAGTCTGAATCTGTGAATATCTTTCCAACTTTTCATTCAACAATCATGAGCTCCTGATCTTGTAATAACAAGATCTTTCTTGTGTTGAAGAGATAATGGCTCATAATTATGAGATTTGTTGACGTAACGAGATCTGGATCTCTTAATTATGTTGTGTGTGTGTGTGTGTGTGTGTGTGTGTATGTATGTATGTATGTATGTATGAGAATGAGTTTTCTTTTGTGAATGTAAGTTGCTTCTGTAAATCAGAGCCGACAAACAAGTTGCATGATCTCAAGAAAAGCTAATATTCTTAAGAACAGAGAAGTGCATATCGTGATCACGGGTACAGTGATGAATGTATTCTGTCTATGCCACACATGATGATGAGAATGTATTCTGTTGATGGGAGTGACCAGCAAAAGCATGGACATGTGCTTCTAGTGGTCAATGTGACCCGGACACACGAGGTCCAGGAAAGAGGAGTCCACTGTGTTAGAGCGGGGGACAGTAGTCGTATTGCCTAAATAACCTTTGATATTCAGGGTTCTGTTAGTCTGTGTTTATATGTAAGCTATGCTCTGTTACTGTACTAGTGTTTGTTCATTGAAGTGATGGATTCCATTGTGTGTGTGGGCACCTTTCACAGGCATCCCCTGTTCCCTCTCTTGGCCCTGCTGTTTGAGAAGTGTGAACAGTCCACGCTGAGCTCTGACTGCATCACCTCGGCCAGCTTTGACGTGGACATTGAGAACTTCGTCCGCTGTCAGGAGAAGGAAGGCAAACCCTTCTTCAGTGAGGACCCTGAACTTGACAACCTGGTGAGATCCGTCTGCATGTCGCGGAAGAAGTTCTCTGCTCTGTTGTGTCCGTTTGTCTTTTTGTCTGGGGGGAGTTTGCTTCACTGTAGCACACTGCTCTGGCCCACAGGGCACCCAAAATATTTGAACTATTTCACTAGTTTCTGTTTTTAGTGAACTACCATATTTGAATGCAGCATCAGCAGCTCAGCAATCAAACCGGACTAAAGCGAGTGTTGACTGTGGCTCGGTCAAACCACCGGCTAAGACAACCGTTGTGACTGAAAAACATGTTCACACGTGAGGTATTTCACAAGGAGACACAAAATGGAGGAACCCCAACTCACTGGCACACTTACTAGTCAATGACCTTTAACCTCAACAGCACAGTGAGACGCAGTCCTCTCTGCTGCTCTTGCTGCCGACCTGTTCATTAGAAATTCCTCACGATAGGCGTTATTTAGCTGGTAAGTGTGACTTCATGGTTTAGCTCGGGTAGTCTAGCTGTTTGAAAGACATGGGGCACTGCTGTAGCTGACCTCTGACCTCTGCTGCACTTCCTTATTCACAATCCCCATATTGACCAACCTTCTCTCTCTCATTGTCTTCACTCATCAGCCTTCATAAACCCTCCAAAGCCTTCCTCCTGATCACCATCTGATGTCTAGCTATGTGGTCCCCTGCCACCACCTGTCTAGTCTGTGTGCACCTTCCTTTAAGCTCCTCCCTCTTCTTGAAATATGTATTCACCACAGCCAGTTCCATCCTTTTCACAAAATCCCCCTCCATCTGTCCTTCCATTGCTCTCCATGACACCTTAGCTGCCCACCACTCCTCCACCACTCTACAGTCTCCACCACTTCATGCAGCTCACTCCACACTCTTCTTCTCTTCTTCTCTCCTTCTCTCCATCCTCCTTTCTACAGCGTCATATCACTAGAACCAGTCTCCTCAGGAGAGTGAACACATGGTGTGTTAGTGTGTTACTGATCCGTAGGGTTCCACCTCTCCGTTCAGCACACACCTGAACCGCCGCTTAACTGCACACTTTAACCACGATAGTATGAAATACATTCTTACTGCGACCTATATCAATTGATATTCAGTAGAAATATGACATTTTGAGATCGTCAATGCTGTCGAGACGCCGCTTCCTGATGACGTTACCTTGTGATTGAACTGGACAGGAGGAGAGCTAGTAATGTTAGCGGCACCAAGCTAACGGCCAACGCTCAGAAGTTCCAATGTAATCTTGTAAGATGTCGTTTTTGGTGAGAAACTTGAATATGTCCAGTTGTTTGAGATGTTTTCACAGCAACATAAATAGATCATTAGAGATGAATTATGACCCGTTACAGTCTTTGACAGTTGAAATGATTTTTGGGGCAGCTGCTATAACAATGGACATAACGTGGACAGTTGGTATCGGCAGCAGAGAATGTGACCGTGAAACTCTGAAAGTTGTATTTGCTCCTTTCTTTTGTGCTGATCCAATCCGTGACTTAAGAATCTGATGCGATCTGGACCGTGAGTTTTATGATCCGTTGCACCCTATTAAACATTCATTAGCGTGATAAGAACTACCTAACATGACAGAAACCATCTTTGGAAACAAATGATTTGACTCTGGATACATCCCAAGTCTCTTAACTGCATCCCCGGTTCCCTCACTTGGGTCCTTTCCTTGCGTCCTAGTCCCTCCCACCAGGGATGCATGGAGGAAACAATGCGAGGAGAGAGGAACGAGGAAATATGTTTTAGGAGACATGAGACGTCCTTTCCTCAGTTGCGTCACGTGAAGCGGCGTCTGTTTCTGATGACGGTGCTGATGATCACAGCTGATCAGCTGTCAGTCAGCTTTAACAGCTGGAGAGACTTTAGATAAGTTTGTGTGTTCACATGATCACTGTACTTAATAACAGTAACTAATAATACTAATAACTCATAAAGACACAGTGATCACCACTGTAGAGGTGTTTCTCTCTCTCTAGTCTGTTAACAAACTGTGTTCTGTTTATAAGATCAGGATCCATTTCTACCGGCGGAATGCGATCGTCTTATTTATGAATTATTTGCGTCTGTACGTTTTGAAATTCAGATTGTGACGTCGATATTAAATAACCCAGAATATGATTAGTGTTTCTCTTAAATGATAAAACTCATCAAGAGTTTGTTGTCCTCTTGTTGTTCAGACTGCAATGAACATTTATTTAAACCAGATGTTGAATCAGAAAACTAAACAAATATAAAGCTTGAGTTTAATCTGTGATCCGTCTTCACTGTTTACATGTTGAACAAAATCTCATCAGTCCGATCGGCTGCAGCGTCCAATCACATGACTGAACAACGAGGGGGCGTGTCGGCCGTTAAAACACTTCCTGGAAGTCTGTTCTCGTGGGTCCTCGCTCATGGCTCCGGGGGATTTCTCCTCACTCCTCCGAGCTAAATAAGAGCTTTGGGACGGCCATCAATATGGCGGCGAGAACAACTTCCTGTTCAAGTGAGGAGATGACAATACAGGCCAAATCCCAATGTCCCCCCTTACGGACTCACGGACTTTGAGGCGCGCTCCCGCGAAGTCCGTGAGGGTTTAGTTCTGTCCCACTGTCACATCATCGAGTGTTTGAGGGCTCTCGGCAGACATTTTGAGCCCTTTATGAACCCTTTCTGTAAGTCAGCATGGTATGCTGACTTAACCTCAGGGAATTACCCACAAATCATTGCAATGTGACGTTAAACACGGGGTAACCAGTGGACGCATGGAGACATAAACAAAGACGACGGATCACATGTGTTCAGCCTGTCATATTACATTTACTCAGAAACATTAAGGGTTAAAGATGGAACAAAATAAACATGAAATCAGAATATTTATTCATCAAATATTTGATTTTGTCATTGAAGCTGTTTTGACAAAAACGAGTAAATATATTATATGAGTTACCTCTCATCTTGTGAGGATAGAGCCTGAAGACTTTAATATCAGGAAGTACAAATAAATACACACAATCATACATCATATTTGTTGTCGTTTTCATGGTAACGTGATATGTTGCAGCAAAGTGCTGTCCCATTCCTATTTCCACCATCTCAAGCCCTCACAGTCTCTCACACTCAGCAACTTACCAGGTGACGTCAGTAAGTCCTTGAGGATTCAGGGTTTAGGGGGGACATTGGGATTTGGCCTAAGAGACTTGGGACGTACCCTTTGTTTCGTTGGGCCCATGTAACCTCTGGGGCCAGGGTTCATGACGCATACTGCAGATTTGGCTTCACTTTTGGGGAGCTGTCATGTCATCTACTGTTATAGACCGTCTATGGGTGATGCTACCTAAATACGGTATTCTGAAATAAAGAACAGACGTGATCGTCTAAGTGTCTCAGTCCTCAATATCAGACATTTAGAGGACACACAGATGGAAATATATTTAGGTTGAGAGACTGCCACAAACCTTTCTTTGTATAATTCTGACCTCTAGATGGTGAAAGCCATCCAGGTGCTGAGGATCCACCTGCTGGAGCTGGAGAAGGTGAGTGACCTGTGTAAGGACTTCTGCAGCCGCTACATCGCCTGCCTCAAGACTAAGATGAACAGCGAGACTCTGCTGAGTGGAGATCCAGGGAGCCCGTACTCCCCCGTACAAGGCCAGGTCCAGGGCTTCTCCCCCACCAAGACTCCGGTATGGACCGTAGGTGGACTCTACTTATCGCCTCTAAACACAAATAGTTGGATCTGTTGGTGCCTTTGAGGAGAAATGCTCATACTTGTCACTGATGATGTTGTTTTGGATTCTTTGCCTTTTAATGCGTTTCAACCTATTTCATTCTTCTAACCTGCTACACAGTGTTACCTCAAGTTCAATACCAACGTTCTTTAAAGTGTGAGCCACCAGCACACTTGCCTTGGACCCATTTTGTCTTGCTGCTCTGTGTTCTGCAGACCCCCAGCACTATCTCGGGGACCATCAGTCCCCAGGGCCAAATTGTGGTGCCAGCGTCCGCTCTGCAGCAAGGGAACGTTACCGTGACTGCAGTCAACCCCAGCCAGGTGGTCGCAGGTATGTCCCCGTGGCATACAACCCCCCCCTCAGGTACTGTACTGTTCTGATTGCAGCTCAGATGTTGTCATGTACCTCACAGTCAAATCTGATTGGTCAAGTCCTTACATCTTGTTCTACTATCCTGGGTCGCCCTCTACAGCGCAGCAGATTATATGATGCTGTGTGTGTGTGTGTGTGTGTGTGTGTGTGTGTGTGTGTGTGTGTGTGTGTGTGTGTAGGTGGCACGGTGTACCAGCCTGTTACAGTCGTCACTCCTCAGGGCCAGGTGGTAACACAGGCTCTATCTCCCGGGACAATACGCGTCCAAAACAATCAGGTTGTTCATCTGTCTGTTACTGTGATTCTGGTCTGTGTTCTAGATCCTCAAATGGCAAATTGTTGGCAATTAGTTCAAAGTTTAAAATTTAAATTCACATTGTGTGTATTTTGAGCAGAACCATGGTAATGGTGAAAGGACTCTACTACCGTAGAGCGCTTTTCTAGTCTTTCCGACCACTACTGCCACCTGCCTATCAGTCTATCACATTCACACCCCGTAGGCTCAGCTACGGGAGCAATGTTGGGGTTCAGTGTCTTGCTCAAGGACACATCGACATGTGACTAGTGGATCCGGGGAGCGAACCGCCGATCCTCTGATTGAAGGATGACCCTGCTCTCCACTTAGCCACAGTCGCATGTGAACCATGTGATGTTGGTGACATGAACAAACAGCAAGGTGTCTGAATGAATGTCTGTCTGCTCAGCTCCAGCTGCAGTTTCACCAGGACTTGAACCTCTTTAATCACGACGACAACTCACCCAAGAACAAACGCGGCGTTCTACCCAAACCCGCCACTAATGTCATGCGCTCGTGGCTCTTCCAGCACATCGGGGTGAGTCTGTGTGCATCACATCTACTGCCCGTGTTACTCTTCAACCCTCAACCAGAGCACTGAAGCCTTTCCTCCCCGTCCTCTCCTGTAGCACCCATACCCAACAGAGGATGAGAAGAAACAGATCGCCATTCAGACTAACCTGACACTTCTGCAGGTCAACAACTGGTGAGTTTAGCCCACAAAGACAATTCAGTAGCGTTATTATGCACCGTCCCACATTCATGTCGGGGCAGGTGTGTTTGTCAAGACTGTGGAACCTGATTGGTCAGTCAGCTGATTGTCTGCCCGCACGCTTTCAAAGTGATGAACGATTTCTGCTTCGATCCTTATGAAAACACAACTCGGTGTAGTTTGCCCAATCAGTTGAAAGCTGAGAACAGATTGAGCTCCGACATCCTGTTACATGTTAGTGGGAGATGATTTCATCACAGCGTATCGGGACAGAACATCTGACTACAGAAGCACATATTCCAGTCAGCACCGTCACAGATCTCGGTTGTCTTGTGTCTCCAGGTTTATAAATGCACGAAGGCGGATCCTGCAGCCCATGTTGGACGCGAGCTCCTCTGAGACACCGAAAGCCAAGAAGAAGACTCCTCAAAACCGGCCACTGCAGCGCTTCTGGCCTGACTCCATCGCCACAGGAGGCACCCAGCAGCAAGTTACCATGCCCGACGGTACGCAGCAGGGTTCAGTGTGAACAGTTTGTATTCAAGTTAAAGAGAATCTCAAAATGTGTGTGGATGTGTTTGTCGGGGGGGGGGACAACATTTGATCAACCAGGGCCAAAATGAAGGGTGCCCTGATTGATCGGCCACTGATGGTTATCAGCCGACACTCGTTCCCAACAGTTTGGCGGTCTCTATTTGGCGGCGGGCTCTCCATCGGTAGTTTTGTGAATCTGGCAAGAAAACCCACAGATGAGCTACTAAAAAGATGTCGACTCAACGGTTATATGATGAATGAATCTGATTCTGACAAAGGAAAAATGCATCCCGTGCTTGCCAACGCTTTTGATTTTCTTCCCCCGAGAGAGACGGGAAGACACACGCACGCACAGGCTGTGTCCAGGGAAAATAATTCCCTCGAAGCACAATTTTGAATTGTATTAAAATAGGCAATCCATTGAATGAATAGACATGCAGAAATGTTGATCTAGAATTGAATGTCAACGTTGAACGTGAATAAATCTTCCAACTATTGGGTACAGCCCCTTTGAAACCAAGCTGGCGAGTATGAGATCCGATCTAAAGTCACAAATCTCAGCACTGATGGGCTTTCACGACACCGCGTCATGTGAATTCCTTGCAACTTCCAGTTGAGATATTTCATTCATGGCTTTGCATGTAATCATGCTGCTTGAAAGGATTACTCCGAGGTTGGTGTGAACCAGTGGCGGACCGTGCATTTTATAGCTGGGCCTTCTGTGCTGTCCTACTACACTTGAGCCACCGCCTGTCTGCGCACGCGCCTGTGAGCGTGTGCGTGCATCCGTTTGTGGGCGTCTTTTTATTCGATTCTTTTAAAGTCTTCCATCGTGCCCATGAGTCTGGACTGTCCTGGATATAAACTGTAACGACAGTTTGGTGGCAATTCTACATTTGTGGTGTTCGTGACTTCACATGCGAGGCAATAGGATCTCACTCGGTAAGTCTTTCCTTTCGTTCTCAGGCACAATGGTGACGATGAACATGGAGGGTCTGCAGAGCCTGACGTCAGACGGCGCCACACTGGCGGTACAGCAGGTGATGCTGGGGGGCCACAGTGAAGACGAGTCGGGGGACAGCGGCGATGAGGACGATGACACGGACATGGCCGGGCTGGGCCTGGACAACAGCGACTCGTTGCAGTAGAGGACACACTCCCTCACACTCTGATCTACACACAAGACGTGCGTAAATAGGTCGGCTGTGTTCTCAAACACACCGTGGGTCATAGTACACACACACACACACACACACACACACACACACACACACATTAGGTTTACATAGCGCACAAAGCCACAGGACACAACAGTCCTGCACTCTTCCAACCCTCCACCCTGCTGAACGGCGGTTTATGCTGCGTGTGTGAACATCAGGAGTTTCACTTCAGAAACTGTTTTTTAATTATTTAGTTGATGTATGCGAGTGCACTTTTTTGTATATTTAAGCTCAACAAGATAAAATCAAACAGAAGAAAAAAGAAGTGTTAAAAACACTCGAAGCAAGTTTGTCTGCTCCGTTATGTCGACTGATTTCTGATTTCCCCCC